ATGTTTTATTTTTAAATTCATTACTGCTCTTACTCACCGCCATCCAGTCCAGTCTCCAACGCTGTTGGTGTCTGGCATATTTCCCATCAGCAGGTTTTTTTGTTTTTTTGTTTTTTGGGGTTTTTTTTTTTTGGTCACAGGTGGGTGGCAAAATGTTTGCTTTTGCTTTCTGGTTGGTGTTGGACAAAAGCCCAGAACTTGGTTAGACTAAGGTCGAAGAACTGGGTTTGCTACTATACCCTTTCTACTTTCAGAGACCAGTGGGATGAGGGAGGAGTTTCTTTGTGTGCACTTCCCCATAGAGTAGGCAAGAAGAGAAAATAGAAGTTCACCGAGACAGGACATTAAATTGCAGCTGTACTGGGAAGTAGCTGAGATCCTTCGGCCACAGAAATCAGCTGTTTGCTCCAGGCCCGAGTCAACCACAAGGAAAAGGAGAAGAAAGGATGTTTTTCGTCGCTGTTCCCTTGAATGATGACTGTCTTCTTCATTCTGACTACATGTTGTGATGAGCCCATCTGGACAGGCATGGTCTGTAATCAGAGAAATGATTCAACCTATATGATGCCCATCCTACCTTATCTATTTTATTAATTAAGACTATAAATAACAGATTCACATTTTTTTAAAAAAAGCTCAGGATGGAGCTGGAGAGATAGCTTAGTGGTTAAGTGATGCCCCAGAGGATCTGGGTTCAATTCCCAGTACCTACCTGATGGTTCACAACCATTTGTAACTGCAATCCCAGGAAATCGAAATCCCTCTTCTGGTCCCCATAGGCACTTGAATGTATGTTGTATTCATATACACACTCGGGCATAAACATAGATACACATCAAATAAAAATAAATAAATCTTTAAAAAAAATATGGTCCAGGGTATAGAGTATTCTTTAAGCGCAAAGCTCCAACAGTCTAGAAATCGCTCTTTCCATCCTTTGCCCTTATTTCCCGGAAGTGGCTTATTCCTTGGATTCATATTCTGCTTACAGTGAGCTGGGTTCACAATCTAGCAAAACCACAAAGGATGTGCTGCTTTCCAGCGAGTTCCAGGAAAGACTAAGTCTGCCTAGGCCACGTGCTGTCACATTGCACACAGCCGTGGACAACGCTCTATGCTTTGATTGTATGAGCCTAAGTCCTAGTAACTGTGTCAGTTCAGTGCAACCCACAGGGACCAAGATTGTGCAAGGGCACTTGTGGAAGAAAAATGAAAAATAAAAAAGCAAAAGTGGAAACTAGGCAAGAAACAGGAAAAGGAATTTGCTGAGACAGAAACTTTCTTAACTTTTCAAATTTTTAAAGTATTTTAAAGTGCCGGGTGATGATGGTGCACACCTTTAATCCCTGCACTCAGGAAGGCAGAGGCAGGTGGATCTCTGTGAGCTTGAGACAAGCCTGGTCAACAGAGCTGGTTCCAGGACAGCCAGGGTTACACAGAGAAACACTGTCCCAAAAAAACAAAAACAAATGAGAAAACAAAAAATATTTTAAAGTAACAGAGCCCAACGTGCAGCTGCTTCTGGGAATTGAAAATGGCAAAGAAACCCTTGTCCTCTGCAGAGCCTGGACTGCAAGAAACCCAGAGAAGTATCAAGGGTGTTAATGCTAATCAAGAAAAAGACAAATCAGCCCTTATATCCAGAGTCAAAGATATCTCCAGAGGAAGTGAACATCACACCATTATAGAGTCATTTCCTTGAGTTAGGCAAAAAAAATATCTCTAACGGTATTTAAATCTCTCTTTCTTTTCTTCATTCCTACCCTCCGTACTTAAAAAACAGATAGAAGGCAAATATTTAAGTGTATGTGTTTCTCCCACTTGTTAATGATAGACCATCCCATCCAATGCTAGGAATAGGAACCACTGCAGGCACAGTTGACATGGAAATCCCTGAGCAGGGACTCTGATGGAGGGCAGCATCTGGAAGGATCTGATGACATACCTACAGGAAAAAAGACTGAATCCTGCCAACACCAAGGCCTTGGGAATTCAGGTTACTGACATCTTTTGGAAACTTAATTTTTCCCTTACAGCTAAGGTTTAAAGAAAAACTAGGAGAGTTATGAATTGTGTGTGCCTCCTAGGCCTAAAGGGATAATCAATCTTTTAACCACGAGATGAATAAGTCAAGTGCCTCTCAAGTTTAATACTAATAAAGGCAATTTCTTCCATCCTTCATATCCCAGTAATTTAATCTTTCTTTTCTGGAACTCTGGGTTGCCTTCAGCAAAGAAAAGGGCTTACATAACTGAAATATATTTGCCTCCAATAACAATAAAATTCAAATTTTTTTCATCCACCTAATAAAGATAAAATGTCACTGGTTTGAGGCTACATTTGAGAATACAATACTGTTGTCAACAGTGTCAGTTCATGATGGAGTCAAACCTGGTCTAGAGATCAAATGTCCTGCTCCGTTGATCCCAGCGGTAGACAGGTACCTGGCCTACTCTTTACCAATAAGAATTTAGTTCATCAGATTTCCTGTACTATGAAGTCATCATCTCTTGGGTCAATAGCTGTTTGGAATAGGAGTCAAGAGAAAGATAATAAAGACCTGAGACAAAACAGGTTGGGGTCTCTTGAAAAGAAGACAAAGTATGGCTTCATTTTGTTTTGTTTTGTTTTTATTCATTTGTTTTTTAAGACAAAAATCCCAACATCTAGCCCAGGCTAGCTTGCAGCTTGTCATCCTCTTGATCTCAAATCTTGAGTGTTGGGATTTTAGGTCTGCACCACCATGGAATTTTTTTTTTTACTTTCCTCTTGCAAAGAAAAGCTAGCAGAGTTATGAATTGTGTGTCCTTTCTAGACCTAAGGGAAAATCAATCTTTAAACCTGTCGACATAAAGTACCAACTCTATACAGAAAAAGGAAATAGTTTATTCCGAGCCCAATGTGAGCAACCATGACCTGGGGACCCAGATTCAGTGTTCCGCCACAACAGAGGTTACAGGGAAAAAAGCCAAGAATCAATGTGTTTACAAAATTCAGTTGTGGGGTCATCTGGTAGGCAGGCTGCAGAATGTCTGGGCAATCGGTAGAACTTCAGCGTGATCTTTGCACAGTCTTCGCTTTAGGATTGGTGAGTCTGAGTGTGTCAAACTTGCTGAGACATTTCAGTTTATCTCAAAGTCAACAATGGTAGTTAAGATAGAGAAGTGGATAGTAAAAGACAGCCCAAAGAAATTTTGGTTCTTAGTCTGCATGGAGAAAACATTCTGTTCAGCCAAAATCAAGTGGTCCACAAGATCATTAACACAAGATGCAGATTCCTACCAGAAAGAACTACAGTTCCCACACCACAGGATGAACGAGTCAAGTTCCTATTGTGTTTACCACTTGGCCATCTACTACTATTACTTACTATTATAAGCTGTGTCATCACAAGCACAATAGAGTCTCTTAGCCAGATGCAATAAACCTTGGAAAGGCATAACTTACTTCCCTATGATTAAGCAGCCTGGTGCACATAACATGAAATTCCCAGAGGAAAACAATGTAGTGGTCAGAATGGCTGGTGCTCTTGAGAGAGCGGGGTCTGTGTGTCAGGAATCAGATCTCTGTATCAACAAGGGTTAAAGCCAGATGCTACCCCATGACAAATCAGAAAAAAAGCACTGATATCCCTCCCAATCTGTCTCTCACTCTACCTAGTTCCCTACTAGGTCACTAATCGTGAGGCCTCTTGGAGACACATACCCTTCTCTCATCTGAGTCTTCAAACTCAGAAAAATCAATGCTGCAAAACCAGTGGATTTGTTTACATTCTTTTCCAGCCTAAGAATACTCTCAGATAAATCTTTGAAAAATACATGAATAGTAAGTAGGTTTATTAACAAGCACAGCAGATATTCGTGGCGTGGCACAAACATATTAAGCCTCTTAATGTCCTAACCACTGCACTCAAAGTACAAACTTCATTGCATGAAGACAGAAATGATTTCATCACAACTAGTTATCAGCACAGGACTCTTCGGAAGACACTGAGGCCTCAGCTGACTCGTGGAAGAGTTGCAATCAGGCGAGGAGGAGACCCGCTCCAGTGTTGTGAGAAGAAGCTTCCCCAGAGGCTGAATCTGAACCTTGGCAAGACTGTCATGGAAGTTAAACCAGATGGTTGGGAGGGAGACGGACTTGGAGAACTTGGAATGATCTTTCCCCCCAAGTTTTCACGATCGGTTAGGCCTTGAACTGGTGGATTTGAGCACCTCTCTAGAAGGATACACCGATTGTACACGTCATCAGCCAAGCCAGTTGTGTACTTCGTCAGTCCTCTGCAAACATGCATTTTTTTCATCTGCAGATTCAACAAACTATGAACCAAGAACTATTTAGGAAAAAATATTTTTCATCTTTTCTGCATGGGTAGGTGTTTTTTTCTTGCCATTGTCTTCCAAACAATAAAGTATGACATCTATTTAGATAAATTTACGTTGCATGGTTACCAAGTAGTCTAGATGGTTTAAAATAAACAGGACGGGACGAGGGGCACTCATTACACAAGGCTTGGGCATACCTGGGTTTCAGTACCATCCTGAAGCAATCCTTGTGGGCTTAAGAGATAGATCTGCATTTGAAATGAAAGCCTGAGCACTCCAGATTTTTTAAGCTCTGACTGTGTAAGAATCGGGGACCTAGGAGGGGGAGCGATGCCACCATATCGTCTGAACAGAGGCAACACGGAACGGAGGAATACCTAAGGTGCTTGTCCACTCGCTCTTTTCCTAGCAGCCCAGAGGCCTCTGGCTCCAGCTGGAAAGGAGCGCCTCTCTGCCCCTTTCCTGAGACTGCAGCTTGCCAGGGATGCAGTGATTCTAAGAGCTCCGGAAAACCCCTTTTAAGTCCCGCTTGCCAGCGGAAAACGGCCACATCTGCAAGCCAGAGCAACACAAAAAGTTCTGGTCCTTCCAGCTGCACGGGATTCCCAGGTCGAACTCTTCCCGGAAACTTTGCTTCACAGCTCCTCTTGCGAAATCAAGCGGGCCCTCCCTAGGCTCTCTGGCTTTTTAAAGGCAGGAGGGAGCCCGAAGGCAGGCAGACCACAGGCTGGCAACCTCGCTCTGCTTGCCTGGCAGCCAGTGCCCACCGCAGCTGCGCCTGACCAGCCGTCCTCTGGGCGCCTCTCCCGCAGGTGGGTCACTTTCCTGGCTATTCCCTCGTCGCTTTCGCCAGAGGCTGAGGTCCCTTTCCTGTCTCAGCCCACCTCCAGCCCCCGTTTTTCTGAACCCCACTTTCCAACCAGCTGATACTGAGATATAGGTAAACTCACCCCATATCTCTCACACAAAAAGGTCGCTCAAGGCTGCAGCAGAATCAGTTCATCAATTCAGCCAGTCTTTACCTTCCCGAGGACAAAGAATCAGGGCTGGGTTCTTTCTCTGTCTAACTGGATTCCTGCAAATCTGGAGCGCCCGTGGGACAGGAGCCTGGAAGAATGTAGCAGTCTAGCAGTGTAATACAAGATCTAAGGACTTCCTCATACAGACCTGAAATTGGACAGTCGTTATTCCTTGATCTAATTTAAATACCGTTAAGCAGCTTAGCGATGGCTTTTCCAGGGAAATACTGTCTGTGATGCACTTTCCTGCCTGAGGGAAAGAAAGTCTGTCCAGAAGCAGGTGGTAAGAGGTTTGGGGATTTTATTTTTTGTTGTTGTTGGCGTTTTTCTTTTTCTCTGAATGGCACTTTAAAAGATGAATGGTGTGTCCTGAAAAGCAAGTGGCCTGAACCACGGGGTGGGGGGGTTTAGAGTTCTTGTCCTAGTTCTACATGGCAGCCCAGTAGCTTGGCCTCAGTTCCACAAATACACCTTGGAAGTAGATTGGTCCAAGAATATCCACAGACCAGCTCTACAAGGTAAAAAGCCTTGAGACTGGAGGTGTTGGAGGTCTCTAGTTATAACCAAGCAATTTTCATGATTTTGCAAGCTTTGTTTTTATAAGGAAATCACCCAGCTGTTCTCCTAGGAGCATCTTAAAGATTCACCACATTTATCACTCCGAGAATGCTCTGGGCTTTCAAAACCATTCTTCAGCCTTGCCGTGGGAGAAAGTCCAATTCTGTATAAATGGCAGTCATATAAATGTCACTCACATGAAAGAACAATTTTTTTCTGATACAGTAGGTGTGATTTTATAAAACGGCACATTTATTTGAAGCAGTAACTTTTTCCAGATATGGCCTTTGCAAGACCCTGGGTTTTTTCAGAACACTGTGATTTAGCACGGTGTGAAATCCTACCTGTGTGCATTCCACCTGCATGGCAAACACCAGAAAACAGGATGAAGCACTCTCTGTTACCAGACTTCAAGGTTGTAAACTAAATGGTACATGTGTACCTTGAAATTGGGTCAAAGCACTTTCTCCATTTGGCAACACTTATGATTTTTGCTGAAACTCACATAGCATACACAAGGCCTGACCTCTAATGGCATCTGCCATTCATAAGCTTACTAACTGTTGTTTAGGAGAAACCAAATAGATTTGTATAACCTTCTATTTAAAAAAAAACTAAAATATTAAGCCCTGCAGTGCGGTACCTACAGCTACAGAGAAATGGGTTTGTTTGTGATATAGAACATTAGAGTGATGAGTCACTCCATGTTACCTTGTCTCTTGAAGGATTACCCTTAAATTACCCTACATCATCAATACCAGTATTTCTGCTTTCAAAGTGTACAGAGCTGATTCTGCAGTCACAGAAACACATGTCAGTTTTTCATGGTCCTCACTATCTAGTTCCCTTGAAAATAAATTTAAGGACTAGAGAGATGGTCAGTGGGTAAAACACTTGCCCCCAAAGCGTGGGGATCTGAGTTCAAGTCCTCAGTACTCTCAAAGGACACTGGTTCCCAAGGCGTACACATATCTCAACATTGGGTTAACTACAGTAAGGATCCCCTAGCCCACTGGCTAGATACCTTTGCCGAATCAGTGAGCTCCAGGTTTAGTAAGAGCCCCTGGGTAGGAGGATGGGAAGAGGTAGGAGGGTGACAAGGGGAACGGGTGAAATTAATGGGGGAGGAGTGAATATGCTTGAAATGTATCATGTGCATATATAAAAAAGCTATAATGAGGCCCATTATCATGTATAATTAATGTATTCTAACTATAACATAGGACAGGAAGCAATCCAGGAAGATGGCCAACACTGACCTCTGGCCTCCACGCCACATGTGCACACACACACACACACACACACACACACACACACAAATAGGTACTTGTGCATAGATGCAGTTAAATAAATGAGTACATTTAGGTAACTGTATAAGTTGCTATAAAAATATTTTTTTATTATTTGGAAGTCAGGAAAAGATTGACAAACTTCTTTTGAGAAGGAAACAAAGCCAATAGAAAGCATATAGTCACCCATCAAAGCTAGATGACTTGTTAGGACTCAGCTGTTGTCTGAGGACCCCGTTTAGCACTTCCTGCCTAACAAATGAATGACCCAAGTATCCACTCATAATTCCCACCACGAGAAGCAGGAATAAGCCACACATAGTCACTTCTTTGAATGGGCTTTAGGACTTATTCAAAGATTAGACTAGATAATAATAGAAACTATGTTTACAAAGACAAGGTCTCTCATGTTACCTGTTCACATCCTAAGAGAATGGCTCACTAGTTAATTATGAAGACTTCTCAAGCAGTTCTACATGATATGTTAACCCTACTGAATGCTTCTCGGTGACTTTTAGGTCATTTCCAAATGGTTTCAATTAACATTTGTCCTTTTGTTAAGAAGAAACCAGTACTACAAAGAATAAAACTAAGTAAATAACTAAAGAGTAATGAACACTTAAAGCAATGTGCGATAAGAAAATTACTTGAGCTATATAGAAATAATTTTTCTTCCAAAATTGTTGAAGAATAAAGAACAAAGATTGCTTATATTGTTTTAAGATTGTCTTTCAGAAACATGCCATTGAAAAACAATGCCCTGGTGTACTAAAAGAAATATTTCCACTATAATTAAGCACACCCACGTGTGGCAAGCTCTTTCTTCATTCTGCTTTGACAGGATCATTCTTAAGAAAAGTAACTTTGAGAGCTGTGTGGTTCTTTCAAATATAAAGGGCATCATTGTTCCTAATATCAGAATAAAGTTCACTTTTCTCCTCAAAAGCAAAGAGAATGTATGGGAAGGGTAATTTTGAAAAGTTAAGAGCTGTAATTATACATTAAAACTAAGAAGTAGAAATCTAAGTATATAGCACATCTCTAAAAAAGAGTTATTAGTGGAACTGGAGAGGTGCATACCACTCTTGCAGAGGATCTGAGCTCAGTTCCTAGTACCCATACCAAAAGATTCACAACCACTTGTAACTACAGCTCTAGAGGGACTTAATGTCCCTGGAATTATTGTGAACCTACACACACACACACACACACACACACACACACACACACACACACACACAAAGTCAACATTTTTAAGTTGTCAGAACACAAACTAGATAGTCCCTTTGGTCTCTGCACCCAATATTAAAGGAAATAAGATGTATTAAGAACAAAGTTGGATCTCCTAGAACACCTTTAGTGGGCAAAGCTATGGAATTAGGGCATAGGAAGACAGTTAATGTTGAATGGGAAGTATGTATCTTCCATCTAACCTGCTCTTTATAGAATATGGAAACCTCAAACTTAGCTTTGAGCCCAGTTAAACAATGGCTAATGTGACTCTGACAGGCTTTAGTAAACGTTCTCGTCCTGTCTCTGAGAAGATCAGAGTCCTTGATGTAGATTCCCAGTGTCTGTGCATCCCTGTGCCTGACCCTCACAAGTGTGGGTTAGTGGTTTCCTGTAATCTATGCTCTCCCTGAGACCCAAGCTCCCTGAGAATAGGACTCACTAGTTCCTCACTTCCTCCTTTTGCCTAACACAATGCCTGGCATAGAGAAGCTGGCGTAAATGTCTGGAAACATGAAAATTTACCAAATTCCTCCTGAAAACACCGACTTCTGTGTTGGAAAGATGCTACCCAAAGAGGTCCAAAGACAATGAGAATGTATGATACCTGTATTGTTTCAGTTAACATGATGAAAAGTCAGATTTTAACCTTGCCATTTGAAGAGGAGCTTAAGGTTGTTTTATTTAACATAGAAATAGTCAAAATATTACAATTGTTTTTTTATTAATAGACAACACTGTAGAAATGGTGTTTCCTTTGCTTTCATACATTACTAGGCTGGCATAAAGTATGAAGTCCATGGACAGTTCAAAAGAGCCTATTCATGTCAAAGCATTCTTACACACACAAACCCACTACTAAGTTTCTAGTTAATTCTTCTGCAGCACAGAAGTTTGGAGGTGATTTGTTTATCATGTTCAATTCTGCAACAAATAAAAAATAGTATAGGAAATGGAAAGATTGAGACAAAGTTAATTTAGTAAATGATTCATTGCAATTGACAACAATGTGCCAATTGCAGACTTTTCCAAGTTGAGATTCTAAAATATCCTTGATATATTTCTGAATCATTTCTGAGAAGCTGGAAGACATTCTTGGTTGAGGGTAGTACATAATGACTCCCTTTGGGAAGCAAGAGTCCACAGGTATTAGATTTATAGGTCAAATTACATGGCCCAGTGTGTGAGGAGAGCATGGGGCCTTTATTGCAGTGCTGGAGATCAGATGGATTGTTTTCAAAATTAGTCTGGGAGCCTTCGGGGAAGGGGTGCCCTTACGGGAAGATTTAGGCATGAAATACAATCCGGGTAAGAGAAGTGGTTTCATCTCTCCAACCAGTTGCTTTCCCAACTCGATGGGCACAGGCCATATTTGACAGAAGGGAATGAAAGGTAGGGTAAGCGCTTGTGCTACAATAACTGGCTCTCTAAGGAAAACCGTCCTGATGTGCAACATTTGATGATTTCCGTGGTCAAAAACTCTATCTGTATTTTCTACTCAGCAAGCCAACTCTAGCCACTAGGGGGAGCCCAGATTAAAATCCTGGCTACTAAAAAGGGAAAGCTGTTTTCTTGAAGTGTCTTTACCAACTAGCGCTGTTCAGAAGCTTGTGTATCAGAGTATAATAAAAGCATGGGTGGCAACTGTCTCCTTCCAGTGATTCTCCTAGAGACATTGGGGCCCATCCTTTAGAGAGATGCTTTATAAATGACCAC